GTAAAGCAGCAGAGAGCAGATGGGACAGGCGTCGGAGGAGAGCCTCAGGTGTCCCAGTCCCAGTGCGTACGCCACAGACCCCTGTGTGTTCGTCAACACCTGTCCAGATGCAGGACCACATGTGAAACTGCTGGATAACGGATTCCTCTTTAGGAATGACAGACAGCTGATCTACTGAGAGCTTGAAAAGTACCTGATTTTAAAGGGATAGGACACCAAAAACTGAAAATACTGCCATCATTTACTCACCCTCATGTTGTTTTTAAAACTAAAGAAGGATTTTTGATTTAACAGCAATTATATAGGCTATATAATATATGAAATTCAAAAATTATATTATATATAAATTATTTAATTAATCCATTTATATCATTTATTGATATATTTTAATATAATTATATATACACTCACCGGCCACTTTATTAGGTACACCTGTCCAACTGCTCGTTAACACTTAATTTCTAAGCAGCCAATCACATGGCGGCAACTCAGTGCATTTAGGCATGTAGACATGGTCAAGACAATCTCCTGCAGTTCAAACCGAGCATCAGTATGGGGAAGAAAGTTGATTTGAGTGACTTTGAACGTGGCATGATTGTTGGTGCCAGAAGGGCTGGTCTGAGTATTTCAGAAACTGCTAATCTACTGGGATTTTCACGCACAACCATCTCTAGGGTTTACAGAGAATGGTCAGAAAAAGAAAAAACATCCAGTGAGCGGCAGTTCTGTGGGCGGAAATGCCTTGTTGATGCCAGAGGTCAGAGGAGAATGGCCAGACTGGTTCGAGCTGATAGAAGGGCAACAGTGACTGAAATAACCACTCGTTACAACCGAGGTATGCAGCAAAGCATTTGTGAAGCCACAACACGCACAACCTTGAGGCGGATGGGCTACAACAGCAGAAGACTCCACCGGGTACCACTCATCTCCACTACAAATAGGAAAAAGAGGCTACAATTTGCAAGAGCTCACCAAAATTGAACAGTTGAAGACTGGAAAAATGTTGCCTGGTCTGATGAGTCTCGATTTCTGTTGAGACATTCAGATGTTAGAGTCAGAATTTGGCGTAAACAGAATGAGAACATGGAACCATCATGCCTTGTTACCACTGTGCAGGCTGGTGGTGGTGGTGTAATGGTGTGGGGGATGTTTTCCTGGCACACTTTAGGCCCCTTAGTGCCAATTGGGCATCGTTTAAATGCCACGGCCTACCTGAGCATTGTTTCTGACCATGTCCATCCCTTTATGGCCACCATGTACCCATCCTCTGATGGCTACTTCCACCATGTCACAAAGCTCTAATCATTTCAAATTGGTTTCTTGAACATGACAATGAGTTCACTGTACTAAAATGGCCTCCACAGTCACCAGATCTCAACCCAATAGAGCATCTTTGGGATGTGGTGGAACGGGAGATTCGCATCATGGATGTGCAGCCGACAAATCTGCGGCAACTGTGTGATGCCATCATGTCAATATGGACCAAACTCCCTGAGGAATGCTTCCAGCACCTTGTTGAATCTATGCCACGAAGAATTGAGGCAGTTCTGAAGGCAAAAGGGGGTCCAACCCGTTACAAGCATGGGGTACCTAATAAAGTGGCCAGTGAGTGTATTTATAATATGAATGAAAGGTAAGTCATACATGTTTAAAACAACATGGCTGTCCAACATTTTTTTATATTAAAAATATGTTTTACATTTAAGCACTTGAGTTTTAAGGTTTTAACTGTTTTGTATTTGAATATATTTTAAAATGTAATATATGAATGTTCAGCATCATTACTCCAGTCTTCAGAGTCACATGATCCTTCAGAAATCACTCTAATATGCTGATTTGCTGCTCGAGAAACATTTTTGAGTATTATCAATGTTGAAAACAGTTGAGCTGGTTAATATTTTGGATGCAACTGTGATTAATTTTCTTTAGGACTCTATGATAAATGGAGAGAGCTGCTGTAAACATGTTTCTCACTACAGTAATGAGAGTCATTTGGCATGGGGGAAATGTTTAACTGTCATGAAAATAATGTTTTGATACAAAAACAGGTTTCATTCATGTCATTTTCAAGCAAAATATCATTTTCTCAACATGTGATTCTGAATGTCCCAAACATTAACCAAACTGTACATGAGCATAAGTGCATTTTGCATGCCGACAGAACTGACAAACGAACTGATGACCGCCGTCAGAGATGGAGAAGAGGAGAAGAGAGGAGCTTGTAATAGTCTCCTCTCGCTTGGCTGCCCAAACAGGGGCTGACAGCGTTAATGTGACTTAGCTCAGACGGGGTGAATTATTAAAAACCACAGCAATGGCAGGGGAAGGAAAAGGGCAGCGAATATCACTGTCAGCCCAACACGGATTACTGTGTGTACGTGAACATGTTCAGAAATTGCACAAATAACGGCTCTGTGCCCCTGTCCCTTAGAGCATGACATGAATTAGCATTTTTCCTGCGACTCAGTGTGTGTGTGTGTGTGTGTGTGTGTGTGTGTGTGTGAGAGTGTCCATGTAGCGAGCGTTGGCTAGTGGTCTACAGAGAGCATATGGCAACTGTAACGACCACATGTCACCGCCCGCAACATCTGATAACCTCTCCTTATGAGGCATCATACTTCATAGCTCATCTTACATCATCCTTCAGGAGAAAAATAACATTCCCCCTCATGCAATCAGCTTTCATTAATGTGACAAGACTGAAATATCTGCTGCGAATCAATTATAAACATAAGCAGTCATAGCAACACAACATTAAAGGTGAAGCCATTGAGGCCATTTCTACACTACACAGAATTGCAAACAGAACTAGATTTTGCACATGCAGAACTTGCTGTCATGAAGATGGATGGTCGCCAAAACGTTGTTTTTTTTTGTTTTTTTTTGCATGTTGTTTTGTGATATGGATCAGGTCTCCCTTCAATGCAAGAGATATTAATGGCTATTTTAATGTCGGTCAAGAAAAATCTTACATTTTGTGATGTCTGCATCACAAAACAGTGGTTGTTAAGGACTTAACTACCTAATGTTACAAGTTCATGTTCAAAGCTGTAGTGCAAGGGCACTAGTAATAATGATTTTTAACTTAAGATGTCGCCTAAAAAAAACCCTCTTATGCAAGAAGTCTCTTATTCTCAACAAGGCTGATAAAATATACAGTAAAAACAGTAATACTGTGGAATATTATTACAATTTAAAATAGCAGGTTTCTCTGTGATTATATTTTAAAATGTAATATATGATGCAAAGCTGAATTTTCAGCATCATTACTCCAGTCTTCAGTGTCACATGATCCTTCAGAAATCACTCTAATATGATGATTTGCTGCTCAAGAAACATTTCTGATTATTATCAGTGTTGAAAACAGTTGTGCTGCTGCTTCATATTTTTGTGGAAACCACGATTTTTTTTCAGGATTCTTTAATGAATCGAAAGTTCAAAAGAACAACATTTATTTATATTATTACCTTATAAATGTCTTTACTGTCACTTCTGATCAATTTAATGCATCCTTGCTGAATAAAAGTGGTAGTTTGACCCCAACAGTAGTGTATATGCCACTTCAGATATAACTTCTGTGCCGTTTTTGTGATGTAAATAAATCTTTAGGCCGAGAGAGAGAGAGTTCAAGACATCCGTGGAGCAGAGCTGAAACCTGTCGACGTGATTGGTAATGTCGTGTGTGTGGGTATGCGAGGACATTTGCTGCTGGAGATGAGCGGATTGACCCTCTCAAAATGGAGGCTGATTGGAGAGCAGATGCTTTACAAGACGAGCTAATTAAGTTGAAGTCGCAGTGTGAAACAAGAGGAAGATTATCGCTCTCCTCGATCGTGTTGAGAGGACAAATCCAATTCCATCTCATTTCTCTATTTTACTCTCTTTCTCTCTCTCTCACTCGCTCTCCCTGTACAGCCGAGCAATGATGTATTGCAGAGTTTAATCTTTACTAAGTTTTTGGTCATTTTGACTGCTGAAGTGGAGGACGCCTCAGAGGAATTCTAATAGGAGATATTTGTAACACGCTAAATGTCTTGCACACGCTCAGTAGAGACTCTCTGTGCCAGAGAAAAAGAATCACTGAGTTGTTATTGTTAACAAAAACTGAAACTATTAAAAATAATTTGTTTGGTATTTGAAATAATAAACATAATAATACAAAATATAAGCAATTGATAAAAAAACTTTGAAAATTGGCAGCCTAAGGAAATAAAATAACTTGAAGTGCTAAAATTACTAAAACCAAAAATTAAATAAAAATACAGCTAAATATAAAAAAAATTACAATCACAAGAGTAAAAAAAAAAGAAAAAGAAAAAAAAGCTAATTCAAAATTATTAATATATAGTACTATAACATCATGTAAATACTATAACAGTATATTACAAATAATAAAATAATATTGCACTGATTCACCTTCGGAGTAATTCGAAACAAAAAAACGAATGCCTTTGAATTTAAATGTTATATGATTATTTGGGAACTATAAGACTAGTAGTTATGAAATAAAATTGTACTCGTGCACTTGTTTTATCAACCCATTACACATTCACAAAACCTTACCTTAACACGACTCCACTTTCAATTGCACAACTAGTGCACCAACACTTTGTGAATTTTGTTACACTCCTTTAATACCAAACACAAAAAGTTTGAAGCAAATTTGCAAACTGAATCAAGATTGCAATCAAGAAAAGTGAAACTGAATCAAGCGACCGGGAAAGGCCAGCGCCGCGAGGGAAGTTACGAGCATGACCGAGGCGAATCTCTAATGAGCTCTAACCAGTCTGGGATGCCGAGGGACTAAGGGAGATCAGGTCACAGGTCAAAACAGAGCTGGCAGCTGTCATTTACACTCCCGATCTCGCTGTTTATAGACGCTCTGTCTGGCAGAAGCCAATTAATGTTCACCCGTAGCAACTGAGAACTAGACAAAAATGTGTGAAGAAAAAGGATATCCGTTGCTTTGAGAGCGTGCCGAGACTAGCATGTATGTGTACCTGGACAGGTTTCTTGCGCGAGCCCTCGTTGTTTTCCGCCTCCTCATGTTCTTTGCTGCCCTGCGGCAGGTTTGAGTAGTTGGCGAGACTGCTGAGAAGAGACGATACCATGGGAATTGTGTCCATCTCCTCCTGTAGAGCAAACACACGCACATACAGAACAAATATTGTGAGCATTAAATAATTCACTCGTGATGAACATCATCTGAAATGTCACGTTTACATTTACAGATTATACAAAAGACAAGCCCAGAGGACAATTTATTGCTCAGAATTGAATTTTTAATAGCTAATGAAACTCTCAGTAGAGTTTTATTTACAGTACGAAGCATCATCTGAAATGGAGGAATAGTAAAAACAGAAACAACTAAGTCAGTAGTTGTCATACAGTAAGAGTACAGAGCAGCTCAGATCATTTGATCGAGGAAGAATTTGATGAAAAACTTGAGAAGCTGCCGTAACGATTTAGTGACAAAGTAAAATGTGTTTACGGCACATTTGATCAAATACAGTAGGTCATCCATGCAAACCAAAAATATATGCATACTGTGCATATTAATTAGTCATCTAGCATACATTGGGCTTCACAAACATCTTGAATTTACATGTATTGAATTCAGTGTATCACAGAAAAAATATTTGAGATCACACTGAAATAGCCAATTTGTTTTTTGTGGTCTTAATTGCAATTGTTGAGATCTCTTCTGAAACTCTAGAAAAGACACAAGCCAAAGTCTCCATTTGCTCAACGTTTAATCTCATTTCCACTAGGAGAAACAACAGAGGCATACAAGTAAAATAAAATCTCATTTGAGACTTTTCAAAGACCTTCCGTCATCTGAACTAAAATTTTCTGTTGACAAGCTGACAAGATTTTAGGTTAAAATGCATATGCATGCACTTTATAATTTAGCTCATGTAACATTTGAATCACTTAAATAGTCAACTAATAAATATGAGGCCATAGAAAGGCAGTTTAAAATAGTTTTAGATGCAGTATAGCATGTGATTTGCACTTATTTTGGACTGAGGGCTCTCGCATGCTGTTATCATCCACCTGCAGAGATCAATGTCCTGGGGGCTTGCTGCCCTTCAAACCTTAATTATGCTTATTAATAACTGTCAGACTCTTTTATTCCATTAATCACTATAGTTTGCGTGCCTGTGCCTCACTGTCTATCTCTAATGAGAGTTAAAATGTGCCGCCATTGCATGTTTATAATGTAACGTGCGTGCAGGAGCTCGTGTGTACCTCGAACAGGGCCATGTTCTTGCCGTCATATTGCTGGTTCTTCTCTGGGTCGGTGCTGTTGATGAATGGACTGCTCTCCTTGGGGTTCCCATCTCCTGTTAGCAGAAAACACAATTAAATCATCAGCATGACAGCAGACGCCGAGCAACTCCAGAGGGCTTCACGGGCAAAAAGCTGCTGTAACCATTCCAGCACTTTACATTTTAGATGCATAAAAGAAGGTAAAACATGTTTAGGTCATGCATACCAAAAACAGAGATTAAAAAAAAATTGAATCCAAATTTATGCATCTGGCAGATGCTTTCATCCAAAGCGACTTTCCTTGCATTCAAAATATACAGGTCATGCATTCCATAGGAATCAAAATTATATTGCCATAATGTTCTACTGTTTGAGTTGCGATTATTTAGACCATCCTTTATTGATAATTCACACTGAGTCTTTTTTGTGGTCTTAAAGGAGAACTCCGGCGCAAAATGAACCTTTGGTCTAATAAAACATTGGTACCTAGTCAACCGTTCTCTGAGATTTGTTTTCATGATAATCGAATGTAAAGAGTTTTATCTCTAAAAACTGTTTAGCGTATAATGCTAGTAATGGGGGCATATAATAAGTAAAAAGAAATCGCTAGTTTATACCACTAACAAGACAGTCTCGACTAGTCAAACCACGAACGACGTGCTAAGTGAGCTGAACTGTATGAATGGCGTTTGTGGTTTGACTAGTCGAGACTGTTTTCCAAAGATGGCTCCTGTCTGTATACTCGAAGTGGACTGTCTTTATCTTTATCTTCTTATTAAACGGTCTGGACACTTACAAAGTAGGTGAAAGTAGGGACCCTCATTATGTTACTGTGTTCGTGTGGGGCTATTTTGAGCCTTGTTAGTGGTATAAACTAACGATTTCTTTTTACTTATTATATGCCCCCATTACTAGCGTTATACGCTAAACAGTTTTTAGAGATAAAACTCTTTACATTCGATTATCATGAAAACAAATCTCAGAGAACGGTTGACTAGGTACCAATGTTTTATTAGACCAAAGGTTCATTTTGCGCCGGAGTTCTCCTTTAATTGTAATTGTTGAGATCTCTTCTAGAAAAGTTTTCCATTTGCTTACATTTAATACCATTGCCACTAGGAGAAACAACAGAAGCATGGAAGTAAAATAAATCTCATTTGAGACTTTTCAAAGACCTTCCTTCAGCTGGACTAACATTTTCCTAAGATCCTTAAATAGCAAATTGATATTTCTAGTAAAACAGTAATATTACTTTGTAAAGACACTAGCAGCGACACAGGTGGACTGTTTGAGGTGACCTGTATCTGTACAGGTAAGATGGTTTCATTTACCGGTGTGTTCATTCACCTGGGATCTTGGATCAGAGGGCATCTATTTTTAGGCCCCATCCACACTACTGCGTTTTAGTTTAGAAACCGATAATTAAAACGAATACGATCTCCGTCCACATCAGTGTTTTAGCTGCGTATTAGAATTGTTCTCTGTCCACATTAAAACGACTGAAAACGCGGATCACGTGACCATTCACCAACACTGGGCATGCGCGTGCCGGTGTAAACACAACTTCATCGATAAAATTATCCCACCATGCTCTGGGTTAACCCCAAACCGACGCTCCATGTACGGTCAACGCCGCCGCTGCACACGGGAATTGTCACAGATCGCTCGAATAATAGCTTGACTCCGGCGCATGTAAGCAGTTATAGCGTTGTAAAATGCAGAATTTACTTGTACAACAGCGGCTAGCAAAGATATACGCCATGACTGATGACACCCAATCATAGAGCCGAGCGTGAGCCTCTACTACGTCATCGTTTCTAAAGTCCTCCGTTTTGACCCGTCTACACTAAAACGCCCTCCGGAGATTCAAAACGAAAAACGGATCGGCAGCGTTTCTAAACTTTTTAAACCGTTTCGGGTCTCCGTTTTTGCCGTTTTAGTGTGGACAAGAGGTGCAATCGTAGCAAAAGGTCTCCGTTTTTAAACGAAAACGCAGTAGTGTGGACGGGGCCTTAGGGCCTGGATGGCAGGGTTCGAGTGATGATTGGGTGTCTCTGAATGCACTTACACCACAGCAGAGGAATTTTAAAGAGGTGTTCTGCACACACACCGGTTTAAAAATTAGAACCAAAAAGTATCCATCCATCGGGAAAGATAACATTGGATAAGATTACTTGCATTGGGATCAGGTTTGCATTTTTCTAATGTCATATGCATGGATTCATTCGTTCTGCACAGGTCATTCTCACCATACAATGCAAAACTGATACATCCAATTTTCCATTTAAGCCCTTTATCTGACATTAAGTCACCAGTGATATTTCCCATTCTCTAACCTCTATGCTCCTACTCAGAAAAATCAAAGTCCTGATTACAGGTTAGTCATCCAATTCCAATCTGATCTCTCCAGCGGTCATTCCCAGTGTACGAGAGGACAGCGGATCTCATGCGCTCTGAAGCCACCGCCCGCTGTCATCGCTTGATTGACGCTTCGGCCTCTGAGGATTTCAGTATGGCTGTCAGTCTGTCACGCTGCATTGAGTTAAATCACACTGTGCCACGGACTTGTGCTTACATTACAATGACAGTCTGTGAGGCCGTGGGCCGGAGGGAATAGAGATTTCCCCCCCTATTAAATATACCTAGGGATTGACCATCACAAATAATTACCATAGAATGACAAAAAGTAAATATACTTACATAAAACACAATCTGTGTTAATGTGTCTTGTAACCAAATGCAACAATTCATGTTTTAATATTCAAATGTATACCTCTTTTATGATTACAATATGCCTTCACTGTTAAACTAAATATTTTCTTTATTATGGTTAAACTTTAAATTATAGAATACAGAATGGATTAAAATAGACAAACTAGATTACAATATAGTTTTCATAAAAATGGATGCAGAGTTTTATGACTGATAGATAGATAAAACGATAGATAGACCGACAGACAACTACAAAGAAAGATAGAATGATTGATAGATAGATAGATAGAACATTAGATAGATAGATAGAACATTAGATAGATAGATAGAACGATGGAACAATAGATAGAATGATGGAACGATAGATAGAATGATGGATGGATAGACAGAATGACAGAATGATGGGTGGATGGATGGATAGATAGATAGATAAATAGATAGATTGATATATAGATCAATAGAACGATGGAACGATAGATAGAACGATATATAGAATGATAGAACAATAGATATGACAGAACGATATGATGGATGGATAGACAGAATGACAGAATGATAGATTGACAGATTGACGGATAGATGGACAGACAGACGACATCACTGCATCAGCATAACTCAACCTAATCACTTAAACGTGGCATCATGAATATTAATCTTAATTGTGATTGGATGTGTAACCGCATGTTCCAGCTGTCGAACACTTCACATCGGACACGTTCCTACTCAGTAATTACAGAAGAGTGTTGTCATTAGCGGAGGTGATGTCATTCACTTCAGCAGTGTGAAGCATGGAGAACTTTTCCCCTGAAGAAAAGCGCATTTGTTGCGGTACGTTACGGACGGTCACGGATCTGAATCCAGCGTTATCGCATTCAGTCCTTTCCAATCACGCGTACACTGTAGGTGCTGTGATGAGTGTGTGTTATATGAACTTGTGTGTGACAGAAAGGGACTCGTTGTCAGATTTAATATTTCTTTCTCGCACTCCACACTTAGTGAAACCTCTGTGGAGTCTGGAAACAGCTGATTAAATCCAGAAAATAACACTCTCGTTTATCTGCATTGGTCACGTTCGCTGGCTTTTCCATGAAAAAGAACTGACACTTGGGATTGGGTAAAAAAAAACTAAACAAAAAAACCCCCAGACAAACCAAACTAATCCCAGAATTCAGCGGCCGGCCCTGTCTGACAGAATTAAGACCCAGTGCTATGATGGTCCCGTGAAATCTTGTCTTTTCATTGGCTCAAATATTGTGACACATTGTCAAGGATTCATCAGTGTTGGTTACACGGACCATGTTTCCCAGGGGCCTAAAAATAGCAAAGACTGGCAAAAACTCAAAGCAGTCTCAGACTCAGACATCGCACAGAGAGTGCACACAAAAATAGCACAAGCCTTCTCAAAACTTGTCATCTGATTGGTTGGCTTCATGCAATTTCATAGTATACAGTTTTTGCCAATTTCCAGGTCCAAGACACTAGACAACATTTACACATTTGGCAGCCTTTTTTTATCCAAAGCAGCTGATGATGTATTCAGACTAGCGTGTACCTTAGTGTTGGTCGCTCCATGTTTGCCCAGCTACAGGAGCCCGACAAAATATAATGGGGAAAGAACTTGCTGTTCCAAACAATTTTTCCAAAATTCCAGGTTTGAAACGACATGAGGGTGAGCGAAATGATGACAGTATTTTTATTTTTGGGTGAACTGTCCCTTTAAATGCATTTAAATATCTAGAGATGTCAATTAAAAAAAAAATCATTATCATTCAAATGAACGATCAATTAATAAAGGACTTGTTAACGTTAATACTGCGAAAATAGTGCATGTAGCCAAAAATAATAAATGTAATTTTAAATATAATTATGTCTAATAATATTTATTTAATAATATCTAAATGATTTTTATTTACTTTAAAATTAAATTCAAATATTTAAATGTTAATATTTTAATGATTATTTGTATTATTTATTATTTAAATAACATTATTAAATGCATAATAAATATTAAATAATTTACACTTAAAATTGGGGGTGGGGTGTTCAACTGCTAGACATGGTTAATTAATTAATTAATAGAAATACTGAAAAATTGCATGTGGAGGAATCCAAATGCTTTGTGGATGTAGCCTAAAATATAAAAATATAACTTTAAATATAATTGCAAAACCATGCCTCATTCATAATATTTATATATTTTGTAACATATAAATTAAATTCATTTAGTTTAAATTAAATTAATACAAACATGTAATAAAACACTTTATGCAAGATATGCAATTAATTACTTGTTAACAGTAATAAAAGCATATGCTCTGTAATAAAGCATATGCTCATGCTTTGTGCATAATAGCCTAAAACA